CCCCAAATAATGTATCAGTGTAATTCAAATGCATATATTTGTTTTGCCAATTTTGTTCTGACATGCAGCAAAGTGAGATGAAACCTGGCTTTTTTAAACATACATTTCTGCAGTTAAGAGGTTAAAATCTGAGGCCAGAGTCAGAATCAGAAATCTAAAACCATACAGTATTTAGACTGGAACTATGAGGGTGCAGGCCTTGCACTAATGCCAATCTTGCAATGGGAGCAAAAAAAAGTTGATATGTGCACCATGATTCAAATCTGCAACAGAATGTAATGGATTCTTCTGTGGCCGAGGCTCTACACTTCTCATGAAAATCAGGCAGTGTACATGTTCTCTTATGAAAATGAAGTGTCTCAAAGTGTACAATTCTTTGTGCAGGCTATTTTCTGAACATGTTAAACGAAATAACCTAGTGCAAAGTGGTGGGGACAGAATTGTCCATTTCCAAAAGTGGTGGGGGCATCCAGCGTCCCCAGTATAAATGACTCCTATGCCTGAAGGCCACACAAAAAAATTTAGGGGGTGAGTTACCTGCAGTGGTATTACAATAGCTCACTTGGTACATCTGGAATACCCAGCTGTTTGGTATGGTATATTGTTCTTATGTTTTATGTAAATCAGTGTTTTTCAGATTAAAAAATTATCCACTGGAGAAGCGGATTCTTGTTGTTGAGCAATGAGACCGTTGATGTAGCTCGAAGCAGATTAATGAATCCCTACATCGTCCCATCACAACCTCAGCTAGCACGCTAACACTTGGTGCTGCTGCACAAACATGAAGCCAAATAGCACCTGTGCTAGTTTTAGCAGTTTTCATCCGTACAGATCACTAAATCATAACTCAACATGCTGCTGGCTACATACACTTCGCATTACATGGGGTAATTTTTTATTCCATGTTCCCTCATTGAGTATGGCTTTATGAGTTTTTGTGTATTTGCAGGAGTGGTTTTATCTTTACTGCTAAGCCCAGTATGATGAATAATTCTGTTTGATTTATTTGTGTTTAGGACAAACTCCTGGAGGAGATGTGGAAGCAGCAGGACAGCCTGGAGGGTCCCTCCGCCCCCCCCGCAGAGAGGCCTGCTGAGTCGGAGGCCGGCGGAGGGTCAGAGGACAGCAAACCCCTGCTGCAGCGCCTCAGAGCCCTGGAGGTAAAGAGCATGGTCCACCCCCCCCTCCCCCTCACTCTTTCCCATTTTCCACACCCCATCCTTAAAATGTCACATTCATCGAGAGAACCATGTGTTTTATTACAGATGTAGCGATTCATTTCAGACAGTTTGAAACGCGAGGGCCGTGATTGGTACGTGATCTGCCCTCGCTCAAGGGAAAACCTCCAGCTTGACTTGAGACCGCCCCCGTGATAGATAAATGTAATTATAATGAAGCCAGCTGCAATGGATCATTGATCCACCAGGGGGTGCAGTGGGGTTCCACACTGGAGCTCATGTGAAATAAAGTGAGATACAGTATGCTGGATGTACAGCGGAACTTTGTTAAGATCCATATGNGGTAATTAAAAGCTACGCTGTGATATTCTAACCTGAAGTGTCTGTTTTATCGCTTCACCGCTGCCCATGCTGAATCATGCAGAGCTGCCGTGGTCGACTCGTCAGCAATCCAGCCCAGCCTGATACTCTCTCGCGGTCAGATTAGACTTCACTCGCCGTTTTATGTCCATATTGATCAGATCTAGCTAGTTCTAGCTAAGATGATAGACTACCTGCTATTAAAAGGACACCTAAACAATAAGTATCGCTATGCAACTGGGGTGAGGCTACAAAGTATGCGCAGCAGTTATGCATTTTGTTTACATGCCACCGGAACCGAAGGCATTCCAAACAGATCAACGCCACAATCAACCAACAGGACATCTCTTTCTCCACATTACGTGTTGACATTAGAATTGGACATTCTTGTCTTGTCACATACTCTTCTGCTGTCACAAAGTGGCGCATGAAAGCGGTATGTGCTAAAGGGAAATTTTTTTGACCGAAGAGTTTAGATTTGCCGGCTAACGGGAACTCTGACGTCGTCATTTTGTGTGCTTCGCGGATGCGGCTCGGCTTTCCTTCTCGGACTGCTCTCGGGTTCTGCTCGGTCAAGTTCCGGATGAGGAGGCATTCGTTCGAACCCAACTTACAGTAATAACATTACAAACAATTTTAACAGGATGCCATAATAGTGTAAATAATGTTTCCTTTTTGGCAGTACAACTGAAGTAATGTTTTCGTTTACTTTTTTACATCTTGGGAAGGCATTTTGGCACTTTCATTCAGATAGGAAAGTGTCTTGGAACCAACCAACTTAAGGTATTCTCTTATAGCTATTGCAGGGCATGGCAAGGGAGGCAAACACAAACAAACAAAAAACAAGTGAAATGAAGAATTAAATTGAAATTTGTTACAATATAAATATTGTGGCTGGTTTCATCTTATTAATTCAGTCTAGGAAGAATGCAACCCAACAGCACGCATCTAAGTAAGACCTGCAAAAAATCTAAATTTTTTCTAGGGAGGCCCCCAAAACCCTTCGTGCATTTTCCGTTCCGCGGGGCATTTTTCAGGGCAATCTCTATTGGGCTCAGGGCCATCTTGTAAATTTAAATTAGCTTAGATTTGGCCCACACTGCGACTGGTATATGTATATTATTATATATATGTGTGCTGTGTATGCCTATATAGTCCGAAGCAGGAGAGGAGAGGGAGATACTAAAGAGTTAAAGGCTCTTTTAAGGAGCCACCTCAAAAAAAGATCCTTATAAACATGGTACAGTATGCCAGACGGGGTTCATAATGAGTTGGATGCACCAGCACTCACGATGGTCATGATGCTCATTTGTGCGGGTCTCCCTCTGGCCGACAGACAGCGAAGAATGGACGCTCTCGCTACTGCGGCCGAGGACATGATTGGCCAGTCTAGGATTCCATCCATGGGACCAAGCCCTTGAGTTCCTGGATCCGAGCTGCTGCGGCAGAGTCGGACGACTTCCTACCCCGCCTCCACACGGGATCCCTGTGTGGTTCCCCCCAGGGCTCTCGACTAGGCTTTTTCACCATCCTCCCGGAACCGTCGCCGAAATACAATCTAAGCCGTCCCGATTAATGCTGGACCGTCCCGAATTTAAAATATTAGGTTTTTCTTACTACTTAATCATTTAGTTTAAAAGTTCATTCAAAGTGGACCTTAACATAATAAAAAACAATCATACAAATCATTAGATGATAATTCATCAACCTTTTAATTGAGTAAATCAGTCAATCACATGAACAAAGGCAAAATATATTTAAACAAACACACAAACGAAGAATTACTCTAATATTGATCCAAATTTCAAGTCCCATCCCAATGTTAACCAAAATCCAACACTCTGTTCCTGAAGGACAAACCCAGAGTAACACTAACCAGGAATGACAGTCTGTATACACAGGTCAGGAGACCTTTACAAACTGCCCGCCTCCATCGCACACAGACGGGAGAGAGAGATCTCGTCTGGATTGGAAAGCTCGAAAATACATCCATAACGCATGTTGTAGTCTTATTGCATGTTAGAAACGGAGTGGGATAAATAAAACTGCGATAACATGTTATATGGTAGCAATACTACATATGACATATATACTTTTTAAATGTCTCCAGTACCGATAAAAAGTCAGATAACATCGGAGCTAACGTTACCACTGTCTTTAATAATTCGGCCCGGGCGGAGCCGTTTAAATACCGGGGCTCGGAACCCATCCATACATGGGGAAGAGCGCAGCATATTGCTAAGGACTAAATACGATGGAGGGTTCTCATCTCAGTCATTATTACCCATAGGGGATGCAGAGGAGTAAGTATAAAAAGAGGCCGGCGCTCAGGGTCTGGTTTATGCTGTGCGTTTTGTGATGTAACGTAAAACATTTCAGAAGTGCTCGGAACACTCTCCACGGGAGTAGCATTGTCATTTTACATCACTCAAAGCCGCGAAATACACACACTCAGTACATAGCCCTACTGTAGATAGACCCGGAATTTGCGGGCCAGAGATTCGCGGCACAGCCAGCTGTGCGGCTGGCTGAGCCCATGGGCACGCTTACGTACTGTGTGTGTGTGTGTGTGTGTCTGTGTGTGTGTGTGTGTGTGTTGTGTGTGTGTGTGTGTTGTGTGTGTGTGTGTTGTGTGTGTGTGTGTGTGTGTGTGTGTGTGTGTGTGTGTGTGGTGTGTGTGTGTGTTTGTGTGCTGTGTGTGTGTGTGTGTGTGTGAGTGTGTGTGTGTGTGTGTTTCGCGGGTTGCTAAATGTTTTGTGTGTTTATGTTGACAAGGAGGTTTAATAACTGTGTGCTACACACAACGTGCAGTCGATTTCATTTTCATCGCCGTTTGTAGTAGAGTTAGCAGGGTATTTTTATTTTAACTCTCGTCCCAAATTCGTCCCAAAATTATTTTTTATCCTCCCTGACACTATTTTTTTCGGCCCCGGGACGACGGGACGTCCTTAAGCTCGAGCCCTGGTTCCCCCATGCCGTTTCTCCCCCGGACGGAGGAGACAGAGATGGAGCCCGGTGCTGATAGGAACTGCAGGATCATCGAAAAGGCAGTCACATGGAGAGGTCTCCTTGTTCCCGCGGCTCAGGAGAGCTCTCTTGCCGGTGACAGGAGTGTTTCTCCTGGGTACAGACCCAGGAGTGACCCGGTCTGGCCGCGCTTCCCCGCCATCCGGAAGTACCAGGAGGGAGCGGCGGCGGCCCCTAAGAGCCTGAAGGCTCCGGTGTCCTCATTCGTCCCCCTCACTAAAGTGACGGCTTGACGGATGTTGGTTTTCTGACCGCGGCGTGGGCGACGCAGATTCAGCGGTATCTCTGGCTGCAGCAGGGGGCTATACCGAAATCTGCAAGGAAGGTCCTGCTTGAGGCTCCAATCAGTCCGGACGGGCTGTTTGGACCTCTTTTTCCAGGCCATGGTGGAGTCGATGAAGTCCGCCTCGCAGAAGGCGGACGACATTAGACGGCATGTCAGCTGGCTTCAGCTTACCGAGCGTCCCCAGTTCCCGCAACGTCAGGGTCGCTCCTCCGCCGGTTCAGAAACAAGGTCTCCCCGCGACGAGTCGGAGGGGATCAAAGCACTCTCGGTCTGCTCCTCCGCGAGAACCTCAGAGGAAGCAGAGCAGGAAATTACATGCTGGGGGGGGAGGGAATATGTGAATGTCATCAGCTGCAGCTGTTTCTCACATGTCCCCCGCACGGTGCAAGCCGTTTTTATTTGAAGGATGTCCCCCTTTTTTTCCCCTCTCTGACACACTCTGTACTGAGTGTTTTGTCAGAGTGAGTGATATCGGGGACCTCAGTTGTTCGCCCTCTCTCCTGCCTGTCACGGCGGATACTGCCACCCGAAGTCCCCGGCCGGATGTCCCTGGAGTTGGGGACTGGCTTCAGTAGAAGCTGCTGGGAACCTTTTTCTCCCATAAAAGTACCTGCTCTCTAGCAGGGACTGAAAATGGGGTGAAAAGGTTCTCATTAACTAAGTTCTAGTTCCGGATTCTTTTGGTGTGAGCGCACATTTTCGGAACTATATCGGAACTATACTGGGAAAGGTACTCCTGTGTGAAAGCGCCTAATGAGCCCATGAGTGCCGGTATTTCGCCTCGTGTGGACAGCACTGCACACACCTCCACTCATCCCTCAGTGGGTTTGAGCGTGAACGCGCCTCAATGTCTGTTTTACGAGCCTTCTCCTAAACTGCAACATAATGAGAGCCTGTGTGAAAAGCAGCATGTGGAGACCCCCTCGCAGCCTTTTCGGTCCGGGCCGCATCTGTCAAGCCGGGGTTTCATATCATTTATCTGGGAGTGGAATTAAACTCAGCCAGCATGAGAGTGCGGTTCTCGCGGGAGAGAGTGGAGAAACTGACAGCCCTCTCCATGACAGGCGGCTGCTGTTCTGGGCGCGCACACACGTTGCTCTCCATCAGAGCAATGTATATTCCCGGCGAATTGAACAGAGTGGCTTGCAGAGCGCAGGATCACCCCCCTCTGGGGGTAGACGCATTCACACATCGGCCGTGGCCCAGGATGCAGTTATACGTTTTCCCACCAGTTCCCCTGACTCCTCGGTTCCCGGACTGAGTGCGCGAGAAGCGGCTATCAGCGGGCCTGATAGCCCCGGAGCGCATGGGAGTGTCCTGGTTTCCATGCCTACAGCGTACGCTGTCAGGCAGACCGTCGGAAATTCCGTAGCGCGGAGAGAGCGATCAGCAGCCACCCAGTGATAGGCCAGCACTGTGGGCATGACCCCGTAACGGGAACACTTGGAGAGGCTTCTTTCAAGATGTTACGTACCATCCAGCGAGCCAGGGCCGCGTCTACCATAGCGTCTTACACAGCCAAGTGGACAGCGTTCCAGCGTTGGTGTGTGGAGAAAAGCCTGGACCCCATTACGTGTCCCCTGCCTCATGTGCTGTTGTTCCTCCAGCTGTTGTCAGACAGGAATTGGCTTTTCAGCACGATCAAAACATATGCTGCTGCTATCTCGTCTTGCCACGTAGGTTTCGGTGTCAGAACGGTGTTTAGTCACCCTCTGACAAACCGTTTTCTGCGAGGAATGCGGAGACTCAGACCTGTGTCACGCACACTGGCGCCTCAGTGGGACTTGGCTTTGGTGTTACGTGCACTGAGTAAAGCCCCAGAGAGACATTTATAGTCTCCGGTACTTCCAGTCCAACGCCTACTGCATGCACAGCGTTAGAAAATCAGGACTTCAAAATAAAAGTTTGACTTTTTTCCCTTTTTTCTTCACTCACACATCTGCGACCCACTCGAAACGGGTCCGCGACCCAAAAGTGCAAATGTTTAAGTTCTACTTAATAAATATATTCAAACTTTGCTTAAGTAAAAGTACAAATACCATACTTAAAATATGTTTTAAATTGTGCTAATCTTTGCTCAGAAAATCACCATTCTTCGGTTTATCAGAAACATTACAACTACCACATTTGAAGATATACAGTATAGGTTTTCATTGGACATGGAGTAAAAGTAATCTGTAAGGTAATTAAAGGTGCAGTATAAAAAGTACACTTTTATCTTTCTACAGTACTTACAGTTCACCACTGAGGTATAATTAATGCTGTAATGCATAATTTCCTTTAAGTGGAAAGCAACAAAGACATTGGCTTTTTTGTAAAGTAATTGGACAATAAAGTATACTACAACAGTAATTATACAGTATAGCATATACTGTACACAATAAGCTAACTATGGAATTGAGACACAACAATATGATTTCAAAAGTGAAGCATTGTGATATTTTTAATTTAAGGGACATTTCATTTCTGATAACCTCCGTATGTTCTGTTTTACAGATCTGGATCACAGCAGAGAAACAAGGAGTGAAAGCAGCTACATTCTTCTGGCCTTGGTACTTAAGTTAGTACTGGAATATTTTTTAAGACCAGTGTTTGGTCAACTAAATATTCTAAAAGTTGAATTTACAAAGTATAATTTTAAGTACTACATAGTATGTTTATATTCAATCATAGCAGTTGTCTCCCTGTTCTATTGTTACTTAAATGAGTGCACAGACAGATTTGTATAAAAAAAACATTTACATATCAGTGACATAATGATCACGAGGGGCAACATCCTGAGAATGACGGACAAAGGAACCAAACACACACGGACACAAGACAATACCCCCCCACTCTCAGTCACAACAGAAGCCATTGACGACTCAAACAGCAGCTTGTTGACGCACTGAGCAAAAATGATTTTAATGAAGACATTTTATTTTGAATGCAACGTGACAGAAAACTGAAAGACCAAAATGTATTTTTTATTTGAATGTTAAGGATATTAATTAGGCTTATTTTCTGCTCACAACAAGTTTCATTCAAGTGTAATTTTTTAACACAGATCAGATCCACTTTTTCCATTTTTGTTTATGAAGACAGGAGGGTCTTTTTACAAATGAGTATATATAAATACATCAATTCAAGATGTATAAACTGTAAATAAACGGTCAGTGTTTATTATTTCTTCTTTCTTTGGCTCCCCACCATCATTCATCATTTTGTGTTTCCAGGGTGATTCCTCTGGAGAGAAGGATTTTGACCATCCTGAGCTGGCTGCATTTGCCTGATGATGAAAGGTACAGTCCGGATCTTTACTCTTAAGGACTTCAATCATGATATTGAACCACATATGAATGTACTTATTGATAGAAAGTTGTCATCTATTTTTCAAATGTGTATAGTAACCCTTGCTGTGACTTTCAGTAAATGACAAAATCAGATGGAAATATTAGGATTAACGTTGAAATGTCCAAATTAGCCAAGCTAACAAACAATTGAATGCAGCAGTGCAGAATTTCAGAATATCATTTTGACTGCTGGTTGTAGTTCTTTTTCTGGTTTATTTTATTGTTAAAATGTATTGGTGATTTGGTAAGAGTATCTTGGAGATAAAGGTTGTTTTTAGCTCTGAGAAGCTGCTGGGTCAGTGAAGGGGTCACGAGCTGAAGTGTTTTATAGTGTGGTGAGAGGATGTGTGAAAAGCAAAAGAGGGGAAAATCAGGACTAAATGGACCGTATAAGGCCCCTTTATAGCCAACTAGTAGAGCTGGCAGACCCTTACTGTGTCCCTGCTGCGGAGGATGCAGGTTTGAATCCGGCCTGGGGACCCTTTATGCTTCATACCCTCTATCTCCCCTTTAAAAAAAAACAAACATATTGTCTCTGCTGTATTTCTTCAGGCCGTACGTGTTTGCCGTGCACTCAGAGCAGCCCGATACCTTCGGACACCGCCTGGGGCCACTCAGCAGTGAGGTGAGTGTGACACCTGACAGTGAGGCTGATCCAAGTGTGAATATATCTCAGCTATTTATTTTTTCAATCCTATCTACAGCTGGATAACCCTCTCAGGGAGATCGATAGCATCATCGGTCACCTGATGAACGGTCTGAAGCAGATGAACCTGCATCGCTGTGTCAACGTCATCGTCGTAGGAGACCACGGTAAGACCAGTTTTAAAAACATGTGTGAATCTGAGATTTATTTCCCAATCCTCATAGAAAAGAGAAGGGTGACGTTTATTTTGTGAAAACTTGAGTTTCTCTTTATAGAACACAGGAAAACAATTCCTGATAACTCTGTATAATCAACAGAAGGTACAAAGGCAAAATATTAGCTCCATGAAAATGTATAAGAAATGTATGCATGAGAAAGTTAGGTGGCAGTCTATAAGAAGAATGCATTGCAATTATTTACACAGCATTTGACTTGTATATTGCTTGTCTTTTATCCAGAGATAAAATTCATACTGCTCTAGGTCCCAAGATAAGTTGGTCTTCAAAATATCTCCATGTTCATACTGAGATTGTGCAGCTGTCTGTAGAAGCTTTTACAATTGGATAAACTATTATTTTATAATCCCTCTAGGCATAGAGCAGTGTGACTGTGATTCGATTCAATAAATGAATGTCTCTTATTTGGACGTCCTTGGTCTGTTTATCATTTGTTGTTGTATGTTACTTTTCTGTGCGCTTCTATTGGTTTTATATCTACTGTAATCTCTTCTAAAAGAGAGATTGCTTTCAGGGTCCTTCCCTATTTTTAGTACCGTTATAATAATCATAGAAAAAATATGGTTCTGAACTTTGTTTATCTGATACAAAAGAGTTCAAAGAATGACTTTTACTGGAACTTTCTACTTTACTTCTTTCTACCAAAGAAATAGTCCCTTTGACAACTGTTGAATGTGAGGCCTGCAGATCAGAGTATGACACAACATTTCTGGAAAGCCTCATTGCAGTTTTCAATTCATGCAAGTCCCAGCTCGGTTTTATTTTCAAAAGGCAGCACACCTTTCATAGGCAGATAAACCAAAGATATTGGTACATTAAATCGAATGAATTCATGTTAGCAGAGAAAAGGAGCTGAAAAAACAGTTTCACGTTTTATTTAAGTTTAAAGTGAACACAACCCTTTGATAATAACAGATTATTGCTATTTCCCTGCCTGTCAGGTATGGAGGAGGCTCACTGCGACCGCACAGAGTTCCTCAGCAGCTACCCACTCAACATAGATAAGATCCAGCTGATCCCCGGCTCTCTGGGCAGAATACGACCCCGAGACCCCAAATCCTCCACATGTAAGAAGAGTGACTAGTTTATACACAACATTAAAAATAACATGTAAAGAGTCTTCATGTTGACACTATTTTCTTCTCCAGATGACCCAAAGGTAGTGGTTGCAAACCTCACTGTAAGTACCACAACAACACTAACATCAACCAAACCATGTTTCATGTGGTTTCTCAAACTGTCCACACAGAGAGGTCGCTTACCTTTTATTTGTTGTTTCAGTGTAAAATGCCGACGCAGCACTTCAAGCCGTACCTAAAGCAACATTTACCCAAGAGGCTTCACTACGCTAACAACCGCAGGATCGAGGACGTCCACCTGCTGATGGAGAGGAAGTGGCACATTGCCAAGTAACCTGACTCACTAACTGACTTCTGCTAAATGTCATGATTAATTACCAACAAATCAATACACTGTTGATTCTGAGTCCGGACTATACCAGGAGTCAGGATTTATATCTCAAACTGTATAAACACCATAAGCATACGGTATATATTAGGAAGGGGAAAACATTTTGTAGTTATTTACCATACATTAAGTATTGTAGTTTACATGGTTAAACCCTATTCCTTTGTTTTTTTTGTTTTTATTTTGTAAGAAATCAAGTGTCACTTCAATCACGAGTGAAGACACAAGACCCCAAAATCTTTTCCATATTTTAAATTGAGGGTAGTGGGATATTTTTCTGGGGTAAATGGAAACTTCCTGAGATTTTTGGATAAATGAAGTTAAACATTGGCAGAATTGAATGTTTTCCAGTTGTTCTCAGGTCAACATTTGAAGAAAGAATAGCTTTCTTTGTTGAAAAATCATGATATTTATGTTTCTGGTTCAGGAAAATGCCAGAGAAATTGAGGGCACGATGCGGTTTCTTTGGTGACCACGGCTTTGACAACAAGATAACCAGCATGAGGGTACTGAGTACACCTCTTATTCTCTCCTGTATTACATACTGTACTATAATATTTATTGTAATTGTATATAATAATATACCTCTGAGGTTACCGATAGTCTTTTTGAGATCTACGCTCTGATATTTCTTTATTGAAGTCTCAGAACTATTGTCATGTATTCATTTAATGAATATTTACGACTGATTAGAGATTCTTCTTCTGTATTTAATACGTACATGTCTTTTTCTCCTTTACACAGACCATATTCATGGGTCATGGACCAAGCTTCAAGTTCCAGAAGAAAGTGCCAGAGTTTGAAAATATAGAATTATACAACGTCATGTGTGGTGAGAATATTGTTTTTGCCTTTTATGCAATATCGCCATCGATGCTCTTGAGGCCATAGTAAAACTATTAAACTGGCCATAATTCCTTGTGTGATGTGCGGAGAAAGCTCCTAAATAGTTTTACAACAAACTGTAAACTTTTATCCCAGAATGGGATACGCAAATACATTTCTGTTTGTCCGTCTGTTCATCTCTCTGTCTGTCTCAGATTTGTTAGGCTTGAAGCCGGCCCCTAACAACGGGACGTACGGCAGCCTGAACGACATGCTGAAAGATCCTCCGTTCGAGCCCAGCATGCCGGAGGAAGTGACCCTCCCGTCTCCAGCTGACCCTGACGCCGTCGTGACCCGTGACCTGGGCTGCAGCTGTGATGATGAGGTCACTAAAATAATTCCTGACTTTCAGTTCTATGTTAAACTGTGAAACAACACCAACAAAACAATTCAAACTGTGCTGTATTAATCAATGTTTATTCTGTCAAGGGGCACAAAAGCATCAAAACAAGCTGACATATTTTTTTCTATGTTTTTCTGTCCCAGAATAAGGTGGAGGAGACGATTGAAGCCTTCAGTCCTGCCCCTGATGGGATGTACAGTTACAGTAGGTTTCCTCACACTTCACTCTCTTTGCAGATCTCAATATGTGTTCATAGTGTTGCAATAAGCACTCCATCTTCTCATCCTTAAGGTTTTGTTTGGGGAGTGAGATTTCTTCACAGATTTGAAGGCTAATTTGTAATTTTATATATTAGGCTAAATTGATCAGCAGTATCAGGAAAATGTTATTCCAAGTTTGGTAGTAGCAAGGCCATTAAATATGCAAGTACCCCCCTTTGTCAAGTATGTATTACATTCTAGGAATCAGAATACCTTCATTAGTCCCACTAAGGGGACATTTACGATTTTTTGAATTTTTATTATAATTTTACGAAATGTAATCGGTTTTTGGGAGTAACTAGGTACTATTATGAGAAAAACAAAGTATTTCAACTAGTCATTAATCAAACTGCATCTTACTATTTCATTTTCTGCTTAAACTGATAATTTGACATTAATATTGTTGCTCTAACCCAGTGGTTCTCAAACTTTTTCTGTCAGGCCCCCCCTTTGGAGAAAAAAAAAAGTCGGGCCCCCCCAACACAAATAGTCAGGCTCAGTGGCGGCGCCAGAGATTCTATTTTGGGGGTGCTGTGGGGTAGCTTGACGTTTCATAGAGGGTGCTCAAACATTTAGGGTTTCCCATTAATGTACTGGTCGCTACAGTGGAATGTTCTACTGCAACAATCCCCACACACACACACACAGTGTACCCGCGACTGTTACAATGAAGGCTCGATAATCAGCTCACGGCATATAGGTGTAAGCAGGGGTAAAGTGTTATTTTTATAGGTGGTGTGTGGACCTCACATAGGGGGGTCAGGGGGCAAGCTCCCCTGGGAAGATTTTTAAATATTGAAGTTAAAAGCATCAATCTGGTGCACTTTGAGAGCAACATGAAGAGATCTATGGATACATCTCTCAACACCCATTTGAAACAGAACTTTACAGGGACATTTACAGATAATGAGTCATCTCTCTCTCGTCTCTCCAGGAAGAGTTATCGCTCTCTCTCCTCTAGTCATTTCCGGAGAGAGCTATGAAACCGAGACTCCACAGCGTCGTCGTGGGTCGAACTCAGTATCAGTAGAGCGAACACGCGCTCTGCACCTCCTCCCTCCCTCCCCTCTCTCTTTCTCTCTCGTTCGCCTTTGAAGTGTCAGATTGGGGTTGGCTATAAAATAAAAATAAGTTAGTTATATAAAAAACCTTTTCACCGTTGTTTGTCGTCATCTCGTCTCGCTCTCACTTTAATAAATATATTTTTTCGTGGGGTCATTTTTCCCGTGAAGAGACCTCCTTCTATTTTCCGTCCCCGAGTTGGGGAACCTCCCGACACACGTGCACGGACGAGCCGTCCGGGGGACCCTCTTAATGCATTCAGGATCGAATGCTCTCGCTCGTCTCCTCGCTCCGATGAAATAAACGCGCTCTCTCTCTCGGTACTGTAGTCCAAAAGGCTCTCTCGTTCGCGCGCGCGCTCTCGAACTCGCTCGCGCTCGCTCTTGTCGCTCGCTCGCTCGCTTCCGGCCACAAAGACACTACAAAAAAACGTGTGGAAACCAAATACACGTACAAGAACGTGGAGACAGAACAAGACGGGGTGTGTGTGCGACGGAGAAGTGATATTTGTTCGTTGTCTCTCTCGCATCATCTCGCAACGTAATTTGTACCGCACCGCGAAGTGTAAAATGTCGGACTGTTGGACCAAATTCATGTCCTCAGTCCTCGTCATTCTCCATTTCTTTGTGTAGTGACAAAAGTCTCTTTGTAAGACGACGTCTATTGTCTCAAAGACGCTATAAACTTGAGTTATGAAAAACGAGGTTTCTACGAAATCATAATAAACTGAAAACTAGTGGTCGAGATTCTGACTTTTGTGTGTCTAACATGGAAATCCCATATTAGTACTGTAAGTTCGATTGCGTTTGTGATCAATACCGTCGGACTGGTTGAGCAAAAAATTCTTTTTCTTTTTGAGTCTTTTATTTGACATACGATTCGGATCCCCCTAGGGCAAACACAAAACTTCCGGATTATTTGTGTTTTTTTTACTAATTTAGAAGGTGTCAGACGGAAGATGCCCTGGATTGAACGTTTTTTAACCTATTGTTTTTTTATATTACAAGTTTGAGATAGACGTCATTTATATTCACGTCTGTTAAATGTTTGTACTTATGTCATTACAAACATTTTATCCACACTTTCTATAAATCAAACTATCCTCGAAAATTACAACCGAATCTTATTTTTTGAGGTCCCTTACCAATATAAGTTACGCTGCAGTTGGAGTCCATTTTTTTTGCACACACACACACACACACACACCACATTGGGATGGCAGCACCGTCACCAATACGACAGGGTGTCTCCGTACCGGTCGAGGAACGACATCGGCGAACTACTTTGAGGTGTACTACCTCGTCTGACATGACCTCAAAGTTTTTGTACCTACGGCCTGCTGGTTTGCCCTCCACTCACGACAGCATTTGTCTCCTCTTGTCAGTCTTCTCCTGTTTCCTGAGTTTTCCTTTATTCAATATTAAAGTCAACAAAATCTACTAGTATAGGGAATTATATACGTTGATTAGGGGTCGAAATGTAGTTTACGACTGGAGACATGTTTCCTTAATACGAGTCAAAACGTCACTTATGACGTCACGGAGTCTTGACCTTATGTTGCATATATATTAATTACTTATTGAAACTAAGATATATCGTTCCTTTGGGTAAATGTCATCCAATATCCACACCTCTTCCAAGCGAAAAAAGTTCATTGTCCAATGTATAACCTCATAGGGAAAATTTATGTTTCACTCATTTCATTAGAGATTTCGATGATTAGTTCAGTAAAACTGTTTGGACTACATGGTAGTTTGAGAACAACCTTCCACAACGTCATGTTGGACGAACATAATAACCCAATTCTCGTCACCAAGAGTTTCACCCCGCGCGGGCAGGGTCCCCCGCGTCTCGTCTGTCCCGCCCGCGCTCTCTGGTCCTCTCTTTTTACAATATTTTTTTTTTTTTGTATTTTTTTTTTTTTTTTGTAGCAAATTTTTAATAACTTAAGCTTTTATTGATGACATATGTCATGATATATGCAGACCCAGAGACACAAAGTATTTCAAACCGAGACACACACACACACACTCGCTCGGTAAAACACACGGCACGCGCTCACTCCTCGCGTGGCCATGGCCTCTAGCAACAACAATCGAAGACAGACCGATCGCTCGATGCGATTGCCTATATTCCTCAAAAAAGTTGTTGTTTCACCTCCTCTCAGGAGAGGACAGTCTTACTCTCCTGAGTCCTCGATTTCCTGAGAGTCCCAATAGAGTCACCCAGAGTTTGCAAAACCAGTGGTATTACATTTGTTAATAAAGGCTCCGGGGTGCAAATATACTAGTAATATCAATATTTTTTTATCTCCTTATTTAATTTTTGTCCATACTTTATGATATACCTGTAAATTTTTTTCTTATTGCATTTTTCCCTCACTAAACATTTTATAGGTATTTCTTTTTCATT